CGCTGGTCAGTTCTCTTCATTACTTCTTCCTTTTTGTAGTTCAATCGTACCAGGCGATTTCGAGGAAATATACGGCGCCGAGAGCGATCCAGACGAACCACAATCCGGACAATGGGACGCGATACTGACGTGTTTCTTCATCGACACGGTGCTTCATTTACATTTTAATACTTCATCTGACTGACTACTTACCCTCGTTTCAAGGCCAAAAACATCGTCAACTACCTCCGAATTATACACAAAATCCTTGCGCCTGGTGGGGTGTGGATCAACATGGGTACGTCGCCCTTCTTCTATGCACCTCTCCTTTTGAGATATCCGCTGAAGGTCCGCTTCTATGGCACTGGGAGAACAACAACACCAACGACCCATCCATCGAGCTCACCCTTGAAGAGGTGAAAGCCCTGGCTCGGTCGATGGGATTTATGATCTCGGTGAGGGATAACACTGTTACAGTGTCGTTATTCGCTGAATGTGTAATGGTGGTAGAACGAACGCACGATCAACACAACGTATACGAGTAACTCTCAGGGTATGTTGGGGTACGTTTATCATGCGGCTTTTTGGACCGCGACTAAGCAGTAGACTGTATGTACATACCTTACTTAAATTTTGGGTAATCGGTTATACATCTGGGGTTTTGAATGGGTCGAGCTGATCCAGAGGGTTGAAGTAGTTTGAAGTGTGTGTGTATTCTGGAATTCGGCGTCATTCGGATTAACAGGTTCAGGTTGTGCTCCTTTGCTGAGTGCTCCTCTGCTTCTCTCCTTTTATTGCTGAAACACCTGTAGAATGTAGTATTAACGAAGAGGAATCAAGCCAGAGGCTTGTAGATCAAAAGGATCATTCCGGCGGGAATTTGCCGCCGCGATGCTTCAATTCTAAGTTTACTCTGGTTGTCAGCCGCAGTAGCCTTTGAGGACGTGCAAAATGTATAGAAGCTCCCGCTAGCCGATGATACAAATCCCTTTCAGCTGCATCGACCGGACAACCCAGAAATTCTATCTTGAACCTCGGGACCCTGAAGATTCAACCTAACGGGTTTGATAATGATCTGACATATTGCGTAGCTTATCAAGTAGCGGGTGTGCACCCTCCGACCGTGTTGAATCTGCCGCTATGAGAATTCAGAGCAGCTGTGATTGATTTGAGATGGTGTAAACTGGGACCAGCCCGCTATGGATGCACGAGGGTCCTGCCCGTCGGGATTTTTTCTTTTTCAAATTTGGAAAGCACAAAGAATACTTTCATGTATAGTCAGAGATAGAACAAGTACAATTGGGCTGAGACTCGGTGTATCCAAGGAAATTTAAGATGTTGTTGTCCTTGTTCTAACTTCGAACTGCAATGCTGGTGCCTGCCGTTGGCCCGTTGAGCTGGAGAGCGATGATGACGGAGCGGAGGCCGCTGCATCTCCACCGTGTTCAACTTTGAGAAACCAAGGCTGCCGAATTTTCGGTAAGGCTTGAACATTTTGCTGAACATGTAAAGTCCGGACCCTTTCCGGCAGCGGGCTCATTGAACAAAATGAATTGAAGAGAAATAAAATCACAAGGCTTGCCGAACTCGTTCAGTTTCAAAATTGGTAAGGCGTTACATTGTCAGGGAGAAGGTCGCGTTGTGAGGCAAGATCTGGCGCTAGGAATATAGTATGCGGGTCGTGGGACCTCCGTTGTCCGAATACAGTTTGAACTCGTTCAACATTCGTCCCGACCATGGCGGTAGAGGATAAAACCCGACTCAATCGAGTCGCCGACTGCTTCCGTTATTTCAGAGCGACAAAAACAATTCCTGCCCGAGGAAGAGAACGAAGGGGGGTATCAGAATGCAAGTTGAGAGGGATTGAGGACAGCGGCAAGCGAGCAGGCAAAGTCGGCAGCTGATAATGATCTGATGGCATCTGATCATCACTGTTCTTTTGTTTAGGGTTTGTCCACGAACACATCCGTCTTGCCAACCAGCGCCTTGCTGCCACAACACGTCTGTCGATACTCGAATCGTTCCGAGTCCCTTGGACTCATTTTGAACCACTCTGCAATTGCCTCACTCTTCGGCGACGAATTTTCCCGAATATTTTGGAGCTCGTCCTTCGCTTGTAGGGCTCCAACCCGTCCGTCCCGTCCGTTTCCGGCCAAGAAAACGGGAAAAACGGCAGTCAGCCGTCCGGACCCGTCCGTCTAGCGTACACTCGAAGCCTCAGACGGGACGGGTGCCGTCCGTCCCGAATCGCTTGTCTTGCTTCTCGTCTGAGATTCCATTGAATCCATTCAATGTCGACTACGAAGCCGAGATGAATCGTCCCAAGGAACTGGCTCCAATATTCTCCCGTCGAGAACGGACGGTCGTTTATCAGACTCTATCCAGATTTTCCCGTGGCCTACCATCTCGTCACTGAATGATATCAAGCACACGTCCAAATTAGTCAATGAAAAGTGTTGTTGGACGCCTGGAGGATTTTCCACACAGCCAACAACCGGTTCAAGTTATCTACCGATAACCTGCATAATACCGCGTCATCACAGCAGCTCTCATCCACCGTCGATCCATATATCCTGCTACTTCCAATGACTTTCCTCCCCCAGAGCCATCAGCGTTCTTCGCCGGAGGCTCATACACCAAGCTCCGGCCAGCAATTAAATCTGTCCGGAGGCTCTAATAGGTACACGGGCGAAGACGGTGTGTGTGTGTATACATTCGACGCGTCCAGACGTTGATTCCTTCTCACAAGGGTTATACATCCTGCACAGCGCCATCGCCATCGGCGCGTCTTACGATTCTATCGAACGATACCCTCCCCCGCGATGCCACCCCCAAACGCGCAAAATCGTTTTTGAGATCATCCTCTCATGGACGAAAAACGCGCTTCACGGCCCACGCGTGATGTGGGTCTGCGGCGCCGCAGGGTCAGGAAAATCCGCCATCTCACAAACTGTATCGGAATACTGCGCTCAAAGCGGCCAGCTCGGCGCGACGTTTTTCTTCTCTCACGGAAACGGCAGCGATCTCAGCGACGGGAAGCTTCTTTTCCCTACGATTGCGTATAAACTCGCTGGCGCGATTCCGGGTTTGCGCGGGCCACTGTCTCGCGCGATACAAGCCAACACTTCTATCCTGACGCAATCTCTCGAACTGCAAATCCAAAAACTCATCGTCGAGCCCTTCTCCATGATTCGTCACCCTCCGATACCCACTCTTATCGTCATTGACGGGCTCGATGCATGCGACAGCGCCGAGATGCAACATCGAATCCTAACGCTGATCGCGCAACTCCTCGTCGTCCACCGCCTCCCCCTCTGTTTCTTCATAACAAGTCGGCTCCAGTCTCACCTCGAAGCGACATTCGATACGCCAGTATACCGCAAACTATCCACTCGCATCCCTCTAGACGTATTCGTCTCCGACAACGACGTCCGAACCTTCCTCTACGCCGAATTCGCCGCGGTTCGGCAGGTGCACCAGGAGGCGATGAGGGGCATCCCGCATCCTTGGCCGTCGGAAGACGTCATCGAACTCATCGTGCAAAAATCCGAAGGCCAATTCCTGTACCCTGCAACCGTGCTCAAATACGTCGACGACAATTCGGGAAGGCCCGCCGAACGGCTCACCGAGATCGTCGTAGCTGCTGTGTCGGCGGCGGATGCAGAGCCCAGTCTCAGCCTTTCGCCGACCGACCAGCTGTGCCACCACGTCCTCTCGACGAGCCCAGATCCCGCGGCGCTGATGCGAATATTGGGGCCGCTCGTGGTGCTCTTCTCGCCCCTTCCGCCGACAGAGTTGGAGGTGCTACTCAGCCTCGCGCCCGGCGACGTGAGCTTGATCCTGCGCGACATGCACGCGCTCGTCGACGTCCCCTCGTCCTCCGCCTCCCCTCTCCAACGCGTCCGCATCCCCCAACCCTCCACCATCGAATTTCTCCTCGACATCCACCGCTCGATGCCCTTTTGGATCGAACCGGGGAAGTATCACGCAGAGATCGTACGCGGGTGTATCCGGTATATCGGCGAGTTCATGGATTTGACGATGCAGCAGCTCGATCTGTGCGTTATTTATCCAGTCTTTCTTTCTTATGGCTGAAATTGCGTTTCGACTCCTCGATTTATTCATGGCTATGGCTAGCAGATTATACCAATACACCCGAAAGAAATGGACACGCCATCTAGCACTGGCGACGCCCTCGCCGGAGCTCCTGCAGGATTTGTGTGAGTTGAGGTTCGTGTATTCGCGCGTGCCAGCGGAGGTGAGGGATGTGATAACATGGTTGCAGGTCAGTTTCGTTTCTGTATTTGTTTCTTTTCTTACGGCAGACTTTTCTCAATGATTGTTTGTTTCTTGTGAATAGAGCATTCCACAGGCACCAATGACCCAAGATGTTCTGGAACTGTGGCAGGGATGGTTAACGCAGATTGGTCCTCCTCCGACTGCATTTTTCGTGCCATGAGCTGCGGAACTGGAGGAGACGATTTTATTATGGAGGTATTGCTCCCTTGTTTCATAACAGGCTTGCTTATAGATGGTCTGTTATATGAGCCCCTGCAGCTCAACCAGAGGCAGAATCAAGGTTTTCATTTCGCGTTTATACCCCTTTTCGCCAATTGATTCCAGCAGAGAATGTAACCTGTACTTTGCGTGTAATATAGTCAACGAATTTCAATACTGTCGTCGCATGCATATGCTAGTACATCCTTGCTTGATTCAATGTTGCTTAAAGATAAATTTGTTCGTGAAAAAGATGAGTTTTCAATTTGGTTGCACTTTGAGATGCTGTTGAGGTCTCAGCCCGGGAACGTCCAGACCACCATGGTTTCTTCGAATTCGCGATTGACGGAAGGGTAATGGCAGTCGGAGAAATCTTAGAAAAAGGATAAACGTGCAGGGCCGTGAGGCACTTGACCTGCTGGACTAAGGTCCTTTCATGTTTGGATTGCTAGCAGAAGAAAAAAGACAAGGTCCATGAGACTGGAAAACTGAGCACACAAAAACTCGATGCCGCCCTGCAAGTATGAATGGAGTGGGATTCGAACCCACGCCCCCGAAGAGACTAGTAAAGTCAATGATCATCTGCTCATGACCTGAAACTAGCGCCATAGACCACTCGGCCATCCATCCGTTGGCTGTTGTTAGTTATGAGAGTTCAGGTTCTGATTTTACCACCTGACTCTGAACAACCGGACTTTCTTTTCTCATACCATACATATCCAAAACCCGTCCGAAGCTTCCACCGAAACCGACGAATGAATTTGAAATGATAGCGGGAGTGAAGAAAACAAAAACCAACTACATTGGTAACAACTTGCATACATACAGATTTCCTCCCCGTTTTACGATGAGCAGAGACTGATACTTACATACAGGAGACAAAATCAGCTCTTTCCCCCAAGGGCCAACTCACATCTTTATCTCATCATCATACACACACCCCGCCTCGACCACCACCACCCTGTACCACACCGCACCCTCTCCCTACCCCTACCCCACGGTCACCAGCATAGGCACCCCCCAGGCCACGCCCGCGCCAAACAGCTGCACCCACCACGCCCTCGCCAACACCCCCCACCCTTCCTCACGCACGACCTTCCTTAGGCAGTCGACGAGGCCCGTATACGCTTCTCCCCCGTTCTCCCCAGTAAGACCCGTCACCGCCGCATCACCACGGACTTCCAGAACACTTTCCCCACCGAGGGGTGTGTACCTCTGCAGTCCTTGCGCTTCCCCTTCCCCTCCCGCACCCTCACCCTCACCTAACAACCCCTCCCTCTCCCCCTCCCCGCTCCCCTCCCCACCCTCACTTCGGCGCTGCAACGTCAACCGCACCACCGCCACCGCCAACGGCGTCCCCAGCAACACACCCAAAAGCACGCTCGGAACCGCGCCCGCAAGGTGAAACCCGCCAGGCAGCGCCCGTGTCGCAGCGCGCAGAAGAACGAGCACGGGCGCGATGAGGGATTCGCAAAGGACGCCGAGGGCGACGCCGGGGGTGAGGTATAGGCGGAGTGGCTTGGCGCGTTCGGCGGGGGAGAGGAGGGTGCGGAGGGCCGTGCGCGTGGAGCCGCGGCGGAGGGGGAGGATGTACGGGGTTGTTATCGCGCTGTGGGGGGAAGGTCAGCCTAGGTGGTTGTCGTGAAGAGAGCGAGAGAGAGAGACGCGTACCGGTTGATGAGGATCTGCAGGGGGATGAGGAGGAGGGCGGCGATGATGCCTGCGAGGTAGTGCAGCCAGATTTGCGGGAGTAAGATGTGTGGAGGGGGTGCTGCTTCGGCGAGGAAGTGGGAGAAGGGAGTCGAGGAGGATGGGGAGGGAATTTCTGTGGGATATGGCGAGCGGGGGCGCCCGAAGAGGAGGGCGACTGGGAGGATGACGACGAATGCGATGAGAGTTGAGATCAGGGTCGGTACTAGATGCGTGTAAAGTTTGGTGTGAATAAATTAATTGCACTTTTGGAGCGACAGATAGAGAGAAGTAGATGGATGGATGGATGATGGACTCACTGCTCCCTTTATACAACCCCGCCCAGCGCTCGAGTTTCCATACCCGCGCTAACATGCCAAAATACCCAAACGTCGCGTCAACGACACTGTCAACGTCCCGCGCTCCGCCGTCGGAGGCTGCGTGTTCGTCTTCGCCTTCGTCGCGGGTGAGGCGGACGTCACCGGTCTTGGGGGTGTAGTTTGCGCGGAACCGCACGAGGGCGCCTGCAAAGGGCATCACGATCGCGAGCGTGATCAGCATCGACCTGCGGATTTCAATGGGTATTAGCTTGTGCTAGGTAGATAGAAAGAGAGAGCGAGAGACGACGGACAGGACGCCGGAGACGAGGCTCACGAGTATGAGGACGAGGGTGTCGACGACGGGGTTCATGGTCGTCGTGGCCATGGCGGTTGGCGGTTGGTGGTAGGAGGAAAGGAAGAGTCAGGTCGTGCGAAGATGGAGGTTTATAGCATATCAATGATCATTGGATTGACGCGCAGGTACTGAATTAAATGGACGCGCGGTGCTGTGCCGACCGTGTCAGACCTGCCTCCCAGTTCGCAAGAGATTGAGATATACAAGCACATATCCTTTGTGAATTTGGGTCGGCCGGAAGCTCGGTAATCATGTTTCTTGACACCAGGGCGTAGCCTACATTCGAAGGATGGAGAGAGTGGAAGTGGTGGCGCCGTTCAGGTGACAAGAGGTGGGAGCGGGGGGGAAGGTAAGCGCCGGCGCTGTCCAAGTCGACGTCAACACAATATGTGAGTTGATGAAGCGAAATGAGAGGTGGTAGAGATGCACCTTGGCGTGGCCTCAAGAGCGGCGTTTCCCGATGGCGGGTCTGGCGCCAAATGGTGGCGAGCAGAAAAGAGATCAAGTGAGAGCGACGTATGCCTCACTCCTACAGGGACGCTGTTCCTTGGTGGCGATGTGGCGGCAGGGGCTGCGTGTGCTGGTAGGCGTCATCGAGTCTTCCAAAGAGAGTGGTTCCTGCGGGGAAGGGCGGCGTAGGGATAGACGGGGAGCAAGGAGGAGGATTACGGTGAGCGAGTTGGCGACGGCAGTTTGCGTTGTCGGGATAAAGGGGCGTGTGCTGGGACCGACGGAGAGACGGAGAAGCGGTCAGGGTCGGCGCCCAATGCAGCAATGCTGCCAAAATGCTGCGAGAGAGAATCGGTTTATGGCACAAGCTATGCTAGGTCGCTAAGAAGCCCGCCTAAGGTAAACTACGCAATAAGTAAAGTATCGACTTGAGTGATATGTAGGTCATCGTCTGCGGAGGGTATCGACGTTGTGATCAGAGTATCTAGTCTAAGGGTATGGTTTGCTTTTAGAAGCGCGCGGATGGTTCGAACAGACAAGAGTGGAAAGGCCAGGTGAGAGAGCATGGGTCCTAAAGCATATGTGATAAATAGATAAATAGAAAGAGAAAATGGCCAGTGTGTTTCTTCGAAGTCGTGTGCGATATCAATATTGTGCGGAATGAGTCGGCGCCTAATGCTGCCACGTCGAGTGGAGTTGATTGTCGTTTCAAGCAGCAAAGCTTACGACTTGGAGTGGAGGAACGCGCGGGTCTTGGCGCTGAGTGCAGTCTTGGTGGGAAACGGGTGGAGAGCCGTGCGGAGAGGAATTGACTTCAAGTTGGAAGGTGTCGAGGGCGGGGCGTTGTCGAGGGCGACGTAGAGCGAGGCAGGTGTGCCGGTGGGTGGGGTGAGTGGTAGTCCGACTCTCACAAGCGCCGAGCGGAAGAAAAAGAGAAAACCGGGCGCGGTCACGGTAGCGTGACGCGACTCGTGACACGTCGCTCTCTAAAACTTTAAGTTTAACCTCTAAAAGTTCGTCAGGCTGTTTTTTCGCCCTTGCTCGCACTCAGTTCCGCAACTCCAGTCTCCCGAGCCAGTATCATCCCGTATCGCCCGATTCTATGAAATGTTCGATGCGTTTCATACCTTCGACTCTAACGACGCGTGGGACGCATAGAGGACTTGTTTGAAGACTTCAAACTACCCTCTCAGCATTCATGGTCCGTGTGCTGAAGCAGACGAGACGGTGTCGATCGCGATCTTCGATTGGACGGCCAATACTCCTTCATCTAACGGCCCACCTCTTGCGACTGTTCATTAAACCCACACGAACTACGTATCAAGCAGAAGCGAGTTTCGGACGAATGGACGATTCGAGAAGTAACTGCACCGGTAAGCATTCGAGCCCGTTCGAATTCCCCATCTACACTCAATCTACCTCGTCGCTCAGGCTGCCCTCGCCTCACATGCGATTGGCAGCGCATCGCGTGTGCATTCGTTTTCCCGTTTTCATGTTGCTCTTCATAGTATTTATCACATCTCTTCAGTATGTGTTCCCTCGTCTGGAGACGCTTGTCGCACTGACATGCGATTCATTCTGTAGGCACAAATTTAGCATATTGCGCGCTTCGTGCGTGTGTCAGCGACGTCTCACTTCCGTTTGCGCACCAAGATTCCCCGGTGCCGCGTCGGCTCTCTCTCTGAATGGTCCCCGACGATACCTCGATGAACCGGGTACTAGTCGATCTCGACTGGATACTGCTCTTCATACAAGCGGAACCTCTGCGCATGTGCGTGTCCCTGGCAGCGCGAATACCATTATGCTACGCCGCACCTAACGCGCTCAGTGATGCACTTTGAATTTTCTCGTCTCCTCGCCGCTCTCTTCGATCGCCCGTCGTTTCGCAAATGTGAGCTGCACTGAGCTCCGCTATCTTGACGCGGTCGGCACAGCACCGCGCGTCAATCGCGCGGCTCGCTCTATTCAGTACTGCGCACGTCTATCCCACGATCATTGATATAAACCTCCGCAGTATCTTCGCACGATCTGACTCTTTCCTTCCTCTCACCACCACCATGGCCACGACGATGTCTATGTCGAGCATGAACCCCGTCGAAATCCTCGTCCTCATCCTCGTGAGCCTCGTCTCCGGCGTCGTGTCCGTCTTCCTCTCTCTCTCTATCTACCTCGCAAAGCTAATCATAACATCGCATTGAATCCACAGCTCAATGATCATCACCCTCGCCATCGTCATGCCCTTCGCCGGCGCCCTTGTCCGTTTCCGAGCAAACTACACCCCCAAGACCGGTGCCGTCCGCCTCACCGACGGCGAACACGCAGCGTCCGACGTCAGAGCACGGGATGCTGACAGCGCCGTTGACGCGACGTTTGGGTATTTCGGCATGTTCGCGCGGGTGTGGAGACTCGAGCGCTGGGCGGGATTATACAAAGGGAGCGGTGAGTCCATTGTCTACGTCTCTCCCACTTTTGCTTACACATAACTGCTACTAGTACCAACTCTCATCTCAACCCTCATCGCCTTCGTCGTCATCATCCCCATCGCCATTCTCCTCGCACAAGGCGACATCCGCGGCCCCATCCCCCCATACCCGACAGAACTCCCTTCCCCATCCTCCTCCTCCTTCTCCGCTCTCCTCGCCCAAGCCGCCCCACCCCCACACATCCTCTTCCCGCAAATCTGGCTCCACTACCTCGCAGGCATCATCACCGCGCTCCTCCTCATCCCCCTGCAAATCCTCATTAACCGGTGCGTTCCACCCTTTCTTTTCCTCCCCATTCACTCAACTTACTGTATTTTCTTCCTTCTCCAGCGC